GGAAAGAAGAATAAGTCAAATTTTGTTATTCATGTTTTGGACTAGCTAGTCTCAAAAAGACCGGTTCATAGGACACCAGAGATTCTTAAAACAACAAGCTTTACAAACCATTACGCAATGGAGTTATTAATAGGCATTCCTGAAGGAGTAGGGGCTTTGAGTATCACAGCTACTTGTTAATCTTCATCACAAAAGTTGGAGAAGGAAATAAAGTTGTGTCAATAAGGAATAAGTGTACGAACAGTAGAGGGTCCTGATTTCATGTCCTCAACAATTAGATTTAAAAGAGCCTGTGTTATATGGCCTTCTTTACCTACAAGGAACACATGACAAAATCAATTAACTCATGAAAAGGTAAATAACATTTAGGGTTTGTTTAGGGTATGTTCGAATAAATTTATCCAAAAACATTTTTAAGAGAAAAAAATAAAAAGAAAAATTGAAATAATTTTTTTTATAATTGAAAATTAGCTTATAAGTTAAAAATAAGATTTTGGAGAAACAGGAGAGAACTTCTACAAATTAACTTATGAATAAGCCAACTTTTAACTTATAAAAAAAGTTTATTTCAATTTTTCTTCTTATTTTTCTCTTTTAGAAAAGTTTACTCAAACAAATCCTTAATAATATAAGGATTACAAAAATGACATGTCTTATGGACCAAGCAAACTATAAATCAAGATAGCCAATGTTGAAAGGCCCAATATACCTGCAAGAAATGCGCAATGGAAGTTATAAACTCATAAAATCAAGCAACATATCTGTTAATGAATAAAATATTGCATGTCAAAAGACCTCGACCAAACAATATGCCATACGAGCATGTTTTAGCCACAAAAGGACTAAGAACCAAATGAACAACTTTTGGAGATAAAATTGTGTAGAGAATCAAAGTACAAATGCATAAAGTAGGATTCCTTAGCATGATCAAACTGTCAACATGACCCCGAATATGAGGCAAAGCAAACTTAACTGGCATTCTAGAAAGTAGAATCCAACATTTACTATTATTATCAGAAGCTCACAAATCAGCAATAAAATAAATACAAGTCTGTTTGGAAAATACTAACAGGAAAGAATATGCATCCCAGTCACAACTTTAAAGAACAGAATAACAAGAAACAAAAAGAATAGAATCATCTAAACTCAGGCCTCAGAAAAACCTTTGAAAAGCATACATAGAATTTACTTGATTGCATATATTAAATCATATCATTCTTTGGTGCAGATGGTAAAAATAAAGCACTCACCATCACCAATAACCTGCTCATCCCACTGCACTACAGGGCAAACAAGAACTCCACTGCCAAGAAGCATCATTTCATCCGCTTTCTTACCTTCCTCAACAGTCACATTTTTCACCATTATTCCCTTAAGCTTACCCTCCCTTAACAAACTCTCAGCAAGGGTTAAAACTCTCTTAGCGGTGCAGCCACTTAAAATTTTGTCAAAGTAAGGCATTATAAGTTCCTTCTCTTTAGTGACAAAAGCCACATTCATATTAGGCCCTTCAGCAACAAAACCTTCCCCATCAAGCCAAATGCCCACAAAAGCACCAGCTTCTTCAGCTTCCACCTTTGAGAGCACATTTGGAAGATAATTCACACTCTTAGTGATAGCAAACTGGGGGTCTTTAATGGGGATAGATGAAGTAATGACTTTAACTCCCTTGAAATTAAGCGACGATGGTGACAGATCCTGTATTACTACTGCATAAAGACTTGATTGGTGGCAGCCAGAGGGTGATAACTGAAAGTCACCAGGTCCTGCTGAGAGCCAATATCTTAGTGACCCTTTTCTACACTTGGAAGCACTTACAGTTTCTATGAGTATTCTTCGTATGCTTCCACGATCAAATGGGGGATCTATTTTAGACATGGATGCTGAACTTAAAAAGCGGTCAAGGTGTTGATCTAGCTCATATAAGTATCTATAATGCAAAGAATACATTTGAGATTTGACTGCTTTAAGAAGTAGAAAACAAAGGGGTAGTTCTCATTATGATGTGGAAATCACTAACCCGTCCACTATTGCTGCAGTATCAAATACACCGTGGCCCCTATGGACCATGTGGTCATCCATGGGAATAACCATAGCAGCTGGGTCTGTTGTTATCCCACCAAATATACTAGAATACATGGCAAGGAATTGTTGCTTGCCATTTATCTTTCCTCTGAACGTTTTTAGCCTTTCATAGGCCTTGTGCAGGCAAAAGGGAAAAAAGAAAGATATCGTGAGCACTTAGCAGCACCATAATTACATATTCAAAATAATTATTTCCTCTGAGATGTGACATGTGAGTCACATAAAATTCGCGATTTTTATTCAGTTCTAATCAATAATTAAGAGAATGTTAGAATAAGAGAGTATCAAGAGTGTGGATGGCATTTCTAAGATAATAGAAAGAGGGTTAGTAATATATTTTTCTAGGGATTAATTATTCTTTTAGTTCTTATAATTTTTAATTTTATTTTTTAATTTTTATAATTAAAAATATTTTATCTTAAATCACATGCATATCATTTTTATTTTTTTATCCTATAATTTTATAAATTTTATTTTTTAATCCTTAAAAAAATAGATATAAAAAACTTTGTATATATTATATATAAAGACTAGAATTGAATATTTTTAATTATTCTGAATAAAAAATAAAGTTCATGATCCTAACAAGTTTATGATTCTAAAAATACAATAGGTAATTAAACAATTTTTTAATAATATCCTTGTAATCAAACTATTCCTTTCCTATCCAACAGCTTCAACTGATCGATTCAGAGAATTAGAGAGAATAACGAATCACTCACAATAGGTGCCATCCCATCCCAACCCAATCACAGCGAAAAAGAAAAAGTTTGAAGAGATGTTAGACCTCCGAGGAAGTCAAAAGCGGAACACGAGACACTTGAGTTTTAGAATCTGCAATAATGTCAACGCAACATTAGTTTCCGTAAATTTAACAACGTCGATTTAAGAACGGAACCATACAACGTAGGAGAAAACGTACGAAGCGAGTCCCCAGATTGGTTGGAGCCGCTGAGAGAGGTGCGTTTAGCAACGAGGCAGTGGCGATGGAATCGGCGGTGAAGCAGTTTGGAAGGGGTTTCTGATAGCGCTTGCGGAAGGAATTGAAGACAAGCCATTTCTGTTTGGGTGTGAGAACTGAAAAGTGAGGGTGGAACGCGATTTTAGAGTAGTAGTTGGCTTCGTTTTAATGGTTGCACCATTTAACAATTATATACGCATTTTTTTATTCAGAGTTGGGTTTTATTTATTTATTTGGCTGTATATTCGTAAGTTATTTTGGATCTTGGTGAATGGGATGTAGTGGAGGGAATCAGCTGCCAATGATACATGTTTGTTTGTTCTCTTGTTTCTTGTATCGTTTGGAAACCCATGATTTAATAATAATAATTATACCGTATGGTGGCCGACCAGGCCGAACACCCAAGACCGAGGCTGAACACCCGAGTCCGTGAACACTGAGGCTGAATACCTGAACCCGCCGACCACTCACAAATTGAACGGAACGTGTCGGTGTGCTCGGCCGAGCTCCGCACCTACGCCAGGATGATTACGGAGAGCTTAATTAACATAATGCATCGGATTAGCCTTCTAATTTTCTGGGGCCCAATCCCTAATCACGGCCCAATAAGAACCACTATAAATAGGACTCCAACGAGGTATGTAACTAACTTCTAACTACCGCATTTGTTACGCCGAGCACTTACTTGAGCGTCGAAGTGTCTTTGCAGGCACCCCCTACCTCGCTTCGGACTACCCGGACAGGAACGAGAAGACCGAGACCCAGGACCCGACCCGCTACAACTAGGATAATTGAAGTGTGTATCCTAACACAGGAACATTTGGCACCCACCGTGGGGCCGAGGAGACATTTTCAGCCCCTTTTGAACTCTACGACTGAGACCAAAGCATGGTAGTAACCGCAAAGGACAATCAACAACGACTCAACCGATCCCTAACCCCGAGATCAATCCATCCAAGAACAACCAAGAACGTTATCCATACGGAATGCCTCAGACCCAACCGGAACCTGTGATATTAGAGGTTCATCCGAATACTGACCGAGCTCAACCCGATCTCCAAGATGACTTGTGCGCATTGCGCGAGGAAATGGCAGCCATCCGAAGACAGAGAGAAGCCGATGCCCGAGAGCTGGCCGAGCTGCGTTGGCAAAATGCCGAGCTCCGGAGCCTGAACCAAACTTACGTGCCGTCAACTCCCACCCTTCTAGAGGAGTCGGCATACCATGCCCCAACTGAACATGTGACCCGGACACCAGTCACCTCTCTAATGGGTAACAAGGCTAACACCAACATTCACTCCCTAAGACACCCTTTCTCACGAAGGATAATGCAAACAATCTTGTTTGATCATTGGAAGAGTCTTCCAATCGAGAAGTACGACGGATCTTCCGACCCTGATGAACACCTGAACGTCTTCCTGACACAAGCGACCCTCGCCACTCAAGACGACTCGGCTTTATGCTAAATATTCCCCACTTCGCTGAAAGGAAGAGCCCTGAGCTGGTTCACTAGATTGCCGAGCTCTTCCATGACTCGTTCAACGAGTTGTCATCTCAATTCACTCTCCAATTCGCGACGAGCAAGCCGTACAAGACGACCTCGTTAGCCTTGGTAGGGGTCCGTCAAGAAAAGAAGGAGAGTCTGAGAAGTTTCATGGACCGATTCAACAAGATTGTCATGGAGATCGGTGATCTTAACCCCGCCGTGGCGTTGGACCAGCTGAGCACTACCCTCAGGCTGGGGCCATTGGTGAATAGCTTGTGCAAGAAACCGCCCGGGGATATGAATGATCTCCGACGCCGAGCCGAGAAATATATGCAAATGGAGGAGCTGGTAGAGACCCGAAACCAGGCCAGGGCCGAGGAGAATTATAGCCGAAAAGAATCTGGCCCAGAGCCTATGAGAAAGAATAATTCTGAGCCCTCCAATGTTCGTCCTCCGAGAGGTCCACGTTACACGGCATACACCCCTCTCAACGCGAGCAGGGCGAAGGTAATGGAACAGGCCCTCGCTTCAGAGATTCTTGTAATGCCGAAAAGGGCGAACACACCCCCTAGAGCTGATAAAGTGAAGGCGTGTCGATTCCACCGAAACAGAGGGCACTTGACTGAAGAATGCTCGGCACTTAAAGACAAGATCGAGGACCTCATTAAGCAGGGTCATCTCAGGAGCTTCGTCACCCCCCAAGACCACCAGTCAAAGGAGAGACACCACCATTCTCGCGAAGCCCACCAGTCGAGAGATCGACGCTGCTGATCCCGTTCAGCCGAGAGGCAGGATCGTTCGCGGCTTTCCAGGGAAGACAGCGATTGACCTCGGAAGGTAATCAACACGATAGCTGGAGGCTTTGCTGGAGGAGGCTGCACCTCTTCGGCACGAAAGAGGCACCTCCGAGCAGTACGATCAGTAAACAACATAAGTCAACCGAGAACGCCGAAGATGCCACCGATTACCTTTTCCGACCGACACTTCCGAGGCGTCGATCCCATTCAGGACGACCCCATGGTAATTTTTGTTGAAATGTACAATTGCATTGTGAAAAAAACCTTGGTTGACCAGGAGAGTTCGGCCGACATCTTATATTGGAACACGTTCGTGCAACTTGGAATCCCGTAGGAGAGCCTAGAACCGTACCACGAACCACTGGTATGATTCTCGGGTGAAAGAATGATGACGAGAGGATGCATTGATCTATACACTCGTTTCGGATTCGACCAAAAATCCTCCCGAGAAGTCAAAATTCATTACATTGTGGTCCACGCGAGTACATCGTACAACATTCTGCTAGTCCGACCCTCTATCAATGCACTTGGGGCCATCGTGTCAACCCCTCACCTATGTATGAAGTTTTCGTCGAGAGACGGTCAGGTAATAACCGTTCATGCCGATCAGAAGACAGCTAGAGAGTGTTACCTCTCTAGCTTAAAGGTGCGACCAATCGCCGACCCCCGACGACAACGAAAGGTGTGAATGTGGTCAGACAGGAAATGAAGGAAGGTATTGACCTCGACCCTCGCTTAGGTGAAGAGGAGCGAATCGAGCCAGCCGAGGATCTTGTCCCTTTTCAACTCGGGCGAGCACATGAACAGATTACACACATGGGATCCCAACTGAGTGAAGCTGATTCGAACCACGTGAAACGAAAGGTTCGAGACAACAAAGACTTATTCGCATGGGCAGCGTCGGACATGCCAGGAATAGATCCAAGTTTCCTTTGCCATCGACTTGTAGTATGCCGAGACGCCCGACCCGTCGCTCAAAAGAAGAGAAAAATGGGGGATGAGAAGAGAAAGGTCGCGACCGCCGAGGTGAAAAAACTACTACAAGACAAATTCATAAGGGAGGTCACGTACACAACCTGGCTAGCCAATGTGGTCTTAGTCAAAAATTTGAGTGGGAAGTGGAGAATGTGTACCGACTATACCGACCTCAACAAGGCCTACCCCAAAGACGCGTATCCACTCCCTTGCATTAACCAACTGGTCGACGGCGCGTCCAGGCACTCCATCTTTAGCTTCCTCGACGCCTACTCTGGCTACAACCAGATAAAGATGCACCCGACCAACAAGGAAAAAACGGCTTCATCACCGAGAACGCCAACTTCTGTTACAAGGTCATGCCATTCGGACTGAAAAACGCCGGAGCAACCTACCAAAGGCTAATGGATAAAGTTTTTCAGGGGCAGATAGGGCGCAACATTAAAATCTATGTAGACGATATGGTGGTGAAGTCTAACTCGGTGGACGACCACCTAGTGGACCTGGCCAAAATCTTTGGAGAGCTACGCAAGCATAACATGAGGCTCAACCCCGAAAAGTGCACTTTCAGGGTCAAAGGAGGAAATTTTTTTGGATTTATGCTATCAGCCAGAGGAATAGAGGCAAACCGAGATAAATGCCGAGTTGTCTTAGACATGTGGAGTCCGAGTAATCTCAAAGAAATGCAACGGTTGTCCAGAAGATTAGTTGCATTGTCCTGATTCCTCCCTCGCCTAGCCGAAAAAATTAGCCCAATGACAAAGCTCTTGCGGAAAACTTCGGTTTTCTCGTGGAATGAGACGTGTGAAGGAGCCTTTGCAGAACTGAAGGCAACTTTGGCGTCCCTGCCGATCCTAACGAGGCCCGACTCCTCATGCCCACTTGAGGTGTATTTGGCCATCTCGGAGGAAGCGATCAGCTCGGTCCTGGTACAGGAAAGGGATGGCAGTCAAGTCCCTATATACTTTGTCAGCCGACTACTTCAAGACCCTGAAACTCGGTACCAGCTGATAGAAAAGGTGGCCCTAGGCTTGGTACACACTTCCCGATGCCTACGGCATTACTTCCAAAGCCACCGAGTCATTGTACACACTGACTGCCCAATTTCTAAGGTCTTAGGCAAACCCGAGTTAGCCGGGAGGATGATGGCTTGGTCAGTTGAGCTCTCACAATTTGACCTCACCTTCAAACCGAGGGGCCCGATCAAAGCTCAGTGCTTGGCCAACTTCATCAATGAGCTCCATCCCCTCAGCCAGTTCGAAGATCATTGGTGGACCCTCCACGTGGACGGTTCCTCAAATTGCCGGGGAAGCGAAGCAGGAGTAATTTTGGAAGGACCCAAAGGGATAGTTTTGGAACAATCCCTCCGATTTCGGTTCAAAGCTTCGAACAACCAAGCCGAGTATGAAACACTATTGGCCGGACTAAGGCTAGCTGAAGACATGGGCGCTTCGAGAATCAAATGCTTGACTGATTCCAAGGTGGTGGCCGAGCAAGTAGCGGGAACTTCCAAGTAAAAGATCACAACATGATGAAGTACTACCATGCCTATCAAAAGTTGAAAGCAAACTTTCAAGAGGTGTTGGTCGAGCACATCCCACGCGAGGATAACACTCGAGCCGATTAGTTGGCTAGATTGGCCGCGACCAAGAAGCCAGGCCAACTAAAAACCATCATTCAGCAAGAGGTCGACCACCCTAGTGTCGAGGAAGTGGTAGCAAGCGTTGATACCGACCACTCCGGCCAAAGCGACCCGCCCGACTGGCGAGACGAAATCAAGGCATTCATTACTAATGGAGTCACTCTGGCCGACCCCACCGATGCCAAACGGCTGAGAACACAGGCCAACAGATATGTCGTCATCGCTGGTTTGTTATACAGACGTGGCTTCTCCACTCCACTACTCAAGTGCCTAGACCCCACCAAGGCCAACTACGTGATACGAGAAGTCCACGAGGGTATTTGTGGAATGCACTCAGGAGCGAGAACGACCGTCTCCAAGCTCTTACGAGTCAGGTACTATTGGCCGACCATGAACACCGATTGCGAAACGTTTGTGAAGAAATGTCAACCGTGTCAGAAGCACGGCAACTTGATCCACCAACCGGCCGAGCAGCTACACTGCATTCCCCCTGCATGGCTGTTCGCTACATGGGGGGCCGACATACTTGGACCCTTTCCGGTCGCCAAGGGGCAGTGCAAGTTCCTCATCGTCGCCGTGGACCTTTTTACTAAATGGATTGAAGCCGAGCCCTTGGCATGCATCTCGGCTCATCAAGTCCAAAAATTCTTGTGGAGGAATATCATCACCCGGTTCGGCGTTCCACATACTCTGGTGACCGACAACGACCTTCAATTCACCGACCGAAAACTCAACGAATTCCTAGATGGCCTAGGAATACAACACAAAGTCACATCGGTCGAACACCCACAAATGAACGGTCAGCCTGAGTCCGCCAACAAGGTCATTTTAACAGAGTTGAAGAAGCGACTAGGAGAAGCAAAAGAAGCATGGTCCGAGCAGTTGCCGAGGTGTTGTGGGCCTACAGGTGCACGCCCCAGTCGACCACACGAGAAACCTTCTTCCGCTTAGTGTATGGGTCCGACGCAATGATCCTGGTAGAAATTGGGGAGCCTTCATTCTGCCGAGCCCACTTCGACGAGTCAAATAATGAAGCCGAGCTCCGAGTAAGCTTGGACGTCGTGGAAGACGTTCGAGACCGAGCACAAGTCGTGGCCGTGGCCACCAAGCAACGCTACAAGAGAAGATTCGATAGCAAGGTGAAGCCTAGAGAATTTTGAGAGGGAGACCTTGTATAGAGAGCCACAGACGAGGCAAGAAAAGATCTGAGACAAGGAAAATTTGCCCCAAATTGGGACGGACCTTTCCTAATCCGGCACAACCTAAACAATGGAGCGTTCAAGCTAGAATACCTATCAAGAGAGCCTATCCCTAGGACTTGGAACTCAACACACTTAAAGATGTATTACAGCTGATGTAATAGTGCACTCTTTTCCTTGACCGACTCTTTTTTCCCTAAGGAGGGTTTTGGGTCGGCAAGGTTTTTAACGAGACACTTCATTAATACAAAGACATTTTTGAATATTTTTATTTCATTTCCTATTTAACTATGCATACACGTTTCGGTCACGTTCATGCAGGGCCGACCATTCAAACTAGTGCACTCGTGCCCCAGGTTTCCCTCCCGGGTACCCTCCTCGGCTGAGGATGCACCTAGGCCGAGCACTATGTATGAACGCGACGACGCCGAGCAATCCTCGGCCAATCGCCCAAAAGCGCACTTGCGCCCCAGGTTTCCCTCCCGAGTACCCTCCTCGGCTAAGGATGCACCTAGGCCGAGCATTATGTACGAACGTGACGACGCCGAGCAATCCTCGGCCAACCACCCAAAAGCGCACTTGCGCCCCAAGTTTCCTTCCCGAGTACCCTCCTCGGCTAAGGATGCACCTAGGCCGAGCACGATGTACGAACGCGACGATGCCGAGCAATCCTTGGTCGCCCTCCCAAAAGCGCACTCGCGCCCTACAGGTTTCCCTCCCGAGTACCCTCCTCGGCTAAGGATGCACCTAGGTCGAGCACGATGTACGAACGCGACGATGCTAAGCAATTCTCGGCCGACCGCCCAAAAGCGCACTCGCGCCCTACAGGTTTCCCTCCCGAGTACCCTCCTCGGCTAAGGATGCACCTAGGCCAAGCACTACACCACGCAACGACACCGAAAAATCCCTGGTCACGTACAGTCTCGTGCGCCCCACCATGTATCAAATCACTGATTTCGCACCATATATCAAATCGAGCACTCCTTAACCGAGAACTCTCACGTGCTCCGCACCGTATATCAAATCGCTGATGCCTTGACCGAGTACGTTCAAACGGAACACTCTCTAACAAAACGATTAAACACCACGCTCCAATCACCGATTAAATCGCGAAATTAGCCCCTCGGCCAAGTATGAAGTCGGTTTATTTTTACTACTAGGTGTTGATAAACATGCAAAATTAAAGCAAAATATTTCATTAAGTATGGTCGAGCAAAATGGCTACTTACAAAAAAATCGTCATCTATGCACCGGCACCAATGGCCAAGGTTACAAAAGGCACTGACGGCCCGGTTACAAAAAAAAAAAAAAAAGCAAGCAAAGTCATAATCCTAGCCTAACGCCATCAAAGTCGATCCCTATACTGCTGCCGAGTCGGCCAGATTCCCATCGCCGACCACGTCAATAACCGGATCCTCCTCTTCGGTTGACTGTATGATAGACTATGGCCAAGGCCAAGGAATCCAAGAG